AATTAGTACCCATCTTAGGCACAGTGAATGAAACCTCAATATTTTACAATCCGCAGGTTGTGAAAATGTCTGAAATCCATATAGCAGACGGCACTACAGTACAACAGCTGAATGCAGAAGTAAAATAAGTCGAAACTCACTTGGCCGGCCTCCAGCACAAGCTTAATGAACTTGAAAAAAAAATCATCTGAATCCGACAAGAAGCTGAAGTCAAGATTAAATAATTAGCAACACTTGAACACAACCATGAAGATGAGCTGAACAAACTGAAGCAAACCCATGAATAAATCATGAATAAATTCAGCAATATGCCCGTATCGTTATGTAGTTGGAGTGGACAAATGCCTCAAACTCTGTGGTTCAGCTGCTGACTCATTCACTGCAGTATTGTGTTCCCATCATGAAACTCCCTACCAATACTGTTACAATCAGGGTATTCTTATACGAGACCTGAAACAAACCTGAGAAAGAACAAAGAAATTCTCTGTCAGCAGTCTCAGACTTGTCCATTGACAATCTGTTGAGACAAAACCAAGGCTGAATCAGACATTTTTTTACACCGATTCACCTCTAGCACAAATCCCACCCTCTAACATCCAAATTCCACCATTTTCATCAACATCGATCACCTCAGCGGGAGTTTAATTTTCCTCCTTCATTTTAATAAACAACTGATCTGCTGTTGTAAACCATGCTTTGTAATTGCTTTCATTCAAACACTCTCCCTTTGTCTTGGAGATATATATTTTTCAAATAATTGATCTTTTTTACATGAGCATCCGGTCGTAAGCTTTGCTCATCAGCTATAATCTTCACGATCCTCGATTCTGTGTAAATAATTGTGTGCAGTACCATAATTGTGTTCTGTGTAAATAATTGTGTGCTGTGTGCATTCTAAGTTTTTGTTTCTTTCTATAAATGAATATAACACACTAGGACTGTGTTTTTTTTTTATAAAATTTGTTTTAAAGGTATGTATGAATTTGATCACTTAGTTGAAAGATTTTTCTCATTACTCTGGCATTTGAAAACGAGTTCTATATTTAACATTAAGATCCTGAATTTATATTTGGCCTAGTTGTTTACAACTGTCTTACTATACTTACCTCAACTGCAAATATAAAATTAACACGCAGAAATTGACTTAGTTCGATGCCACTGATGTTTGTTGATAGGGCCCCAAATGTCCCTGAAATGTCACAGATTTTTCAAATAGCTTACTTGTAGACACCCTGGCAACGTTGACAATGCTTGTAGCTACAGAAGAGGCTCAGAGAAGTAGGCATGGGAGGACGTCGTGGAGAAGTAAGTAACACACAGACAGCGCAGCACAGCGTATCCACAGATATCCCCCACCACTTGAGGTGGGTATATATGTAAGAGCATATTGGTTAATAACATCATTCTGTTGCCTGCCAGTAGAAAGCATGGACCCCTGCATGAGAAAGATCACTAAGCCGATGAAGCCGGTGGCTGGAGTGAAAAGATCAAAACTCCAGGGAAATTGGAAAGAAATCTACTGTCCCCAAGATAACACCTGAGCCTGGATCGACAGCTTCTGTCCTCAAGACAATTCAAGAGCCAGGAGCTTCTTCTTCTGCTGTTGCTGCTGCTAACACTTTGAAGCCTAGGCCTCCATCATCACCATCGTCTTCCTCTCCTTCATCATCCTCGTCCTCGTCTTCTACGTTATCGCCCCAAAAACAACAAAATATGTCCCCTCTATTCATGCTACTTTATCCCTTGATTGTCTCCTTACTATCTCCTATTAATTTGAGGCTTCAATTTCAGACTTCAATCTTGAAAATTGGTCGGGTAGAAGAGCCAAACGACCTCGGAAAAGAGAAACAAATTTTTTATATATATATATAAGATTGCCTTCAACCAAATAATTTTCATACATTAATCCAAGCATTAAAAAACGTGGCTATTGTAGAATTGAATCAGTCTGATCGACCAACTATGTAAGTACCTTCTTTAGCCTTAAAGCTTGGCCTTGCACTACGAAATTGTGCTGCACTTCAATGAGTAACCTATTAGAAGAAAGACTTCAATCATGAAAATTGGTCGTGTAGAAGAGCCAAACGACCTCGGAAAAGAAAAACAATTTTTTTTATATAGCCTATATATAAGATTGCCTTCAACCAAATAATTTTCATACATTAATCCAAGCATTAAAAAACGTGGCTATTGTAGAATTGAATCAGTCTGATCGACCAACTATGAAAGTACCTTCTTTAGCCTTAAAGCTTGGCCTTGCACTACGAAATTGTGCTGCACTTCAACGAGTAACCTATTTGAAAGAAGTAAATATGAGAAGAGAACGAACAATGAAATCTTTTTTTAGTATCATGGACATTGAATAGAAAAACAGAATTTGCTCTACTGCCTTGACTACATTCAAAGGGACAAAGCAAAGGACAGAACACTTGCTACCTCATTAGATTTGACTTGCTACCTCATCAGATTTGATGACAATTAATTATTAATAGACTAAAAACTGTCATCGCCCGTCTTTCTTATTTACAGAGTATACATTTTTGATATAGAAGTGTTTTGTATGGTTATTGGTTATGGAGAAGATTTAAAAAAGTGTTAACTTAAAATTCCCATGTTTTCATTATGGCTAATAAGTAAACTGTTAAAGTTTGCTTGCTTTTATATATATTTTGGGCAAATTTATTTAACCGCCGAAAAGTAGATCTCAGAAGGTCCAGTGGTCGAAAACTCGACCATAAATATGTACAGTTCTTTTTTAGCTAGAAGCGGTTGAGGTATGGTGGAATATCTGGAAAGGATCCGAGTGGGTTTTTCATCCACATGCCGACCACTGCGTCTAGGTCTTTTCAGAGTATCTTCCAGCTGGACTCAACCATCACCATCCCTCCTCCAAGTGCTCACTTTCTCTCTTGTATGGAGAATTGGTGTGCTCCGTATGGGAAGATTTCCAGGAAGGAACATGTCGGCATTGCTGCTTTAAGAGGCCATCCAACAGCTCCAAGGCCGTTTTCGCTCAAAGCGAGCATGCATCCGGCTTTTAAGTAGCCAATAATCTTGGCATTCTCCCTGTGTTCACACCATGCCTTCACTAAGATTGCCGACATGTTCCTGGAAATCTTCCCGCACGAAGCACACCAATTCTCCATACAACAGAAAAAGTGAGCACTTGGAGGAGGGATGGTGATGGTAAAGTCCAGCTGGAAGATGCTCTGAAAAGACTTAGATGCAGCGGTCGGCATGTGGATGAAAAGCCCACTCGGACCCTTTCGAGTAACCTGAAACATGTTCAACATCATAAAACAGACCAATTGAATCATGGTCAATTTCTTATCATTATCATGATCTTCCTCTGGAGCTTTGGTTGCCTCCAAGAATTTCTGACAGCCCGTCTTATTTGGAATAATTTGGATAGAAGACTTATGTGGCAATTAGTGATGTCATCCAAGGTGTAGGCTGTCAGATCCATGTAGCAGGCCAGATACAACATACAGTGGCCGTAAGAATCCTTCAAGTCAGCTTTGCTTTTTAACAATTTCTTTGCATGTCTCACTGACAGCGCAGTGAGTGTAGTGCCAAAAATGTTCATCCGCAAAGATATTACACCATACCTCAACCGCTTCTAGCTAAAAAACCAACTGTACATATTTGTGGTCGAGTTTTCGACCACTGGACGACCTCTAGGTTTTGTTACAGTAGCGCTGTCAGTGGCAGATTGAGCAGTCAGAATGTATATCGGCCAGGACTGACTCCTCCCGTCAATAGACCTAGCTTACCGTCTGTCAGCCCGTAAATACAAATTGTTTTGTAAATAACATATTTTTTCTCACAACCTAACAAACTGATGGAACGACTTATTATGAGCTATAGCAACTGTAATGACTCACTGGGGATACAAATGTTTACCCACTTCTAGAATAGCTAGAGAACTGGGTGAGTCTTGCTTTTTGTTTCCCACACAAAGCAAGACTCACCAAAAAAAAAAAAAACACTTTTAACCTTTGCATGCTAATTTCTCAATACTGCAAAAATATCATAATTTACATAAATCATGCCAAAATTATGCCATGTACAAAATTTTTAAAGTAGGGCGTTTTTAAGGTAAAGGAGTGCGATTTTCGAAAAACACATAAAAGTGTCTTATAGGAAATTTAATTCCGAACCTACGTTTTTCCTCAAATCTTTTCTAGCTCTTGCCGTTTTCGAGTTATAGCTGCATTAAAAAAGCGTGTTTTGTCGTTTTCAGAGGTCCGCCATTTTGGATGGGGGGGGGGGGGGTTAAAATTTGAAAATGGGGCTTTTGCAAAATTCTCCGTTAATTTAAGATCCCATACTACAATACTACCAAGTTGCAAGTCTCTAGCACGTTTTTAGGAGGTTCAGATGAGCATAAAAAGTCGCCACCTTTTAATGTTATTACCTATAAGAATAACTTGGGGAGGAAATACTTAATTTAGGTGGCGTTAAAATTTAAAAATGCAACTTTTTAGTATTTTCACGGGGGTTTAGGACCAAGACCTAGAATCGTGCCAATTTAAGATTTCTAGCTATTCTAGAAGTGGGTAAACATTTGTATCCCCAGTACATTTGCAGTCATTACAGTTGCTATAGCTAAGTAAGTCGTTCCATCAGTTTGTTCGGTTGTGAGAAAAAATATGTTATTTACAAAACAATTTGTATTTACGGGCTGACAGATGGTAAGCTGGGTCTATTGACGGGAGGAGTCAGTCCCGGCCGATACACATTCTGACTGCTCAATCTGCCACTGACAGCGCTACTGTAACAAAATCTAGAGGTCGTCCAGTGGTCGAAAACTCGACCATAAATATGTACAGTTGGTTTTTTACCTAGAAGCGGTTGAGGTATGGTGGAATATCTTTGCGGATGAACATTTTTGGCACTACACTCACTGCGCTGTCAGTGAGACATGCAAAAAATTGTTAAAAAGCAAAGCTGACTTGAAGAATTCTTACGGCCACTGTATGTTGTATCTGGCCTGTTACATGGATCTGACAGCCTACACCTTGGATGACATCACTAATTGCCACATAAGTCTTCTATCCAAATTGGAAATAGATGGGGTACAGGTCTTCAAGCATTTCAATCCGAACAACACTGCTGGAACCGCTCGAGAATTGAAAGGGGAAATGAACTATAACAACATTAAGTTCTCCAACCTCAGCAAGACTCTTTTCCTGGACAGCAACCGTAAGTCTTACGATAAGACGGACTGTCAGAAATTCTTCGAGGCGGCCAAAGCTCTAGAGGAAGATAAAGATAATGATCAGAAATTGACCATGATTCAATTGGTCTGTTTCATGATGTTGAACATGTTAAGGGTTACTTAAAAGGATCCGAGTGGGCTTTTCATCCACATGCCGACCGCTGCATCTAGGTCTTTTCAGAGTATCTTCCAGCTGGACTCAACCATCACCATCCCTCCTCCAAGTGCTCACTTTCTCTCTTGTAAAGAGAATTGGCGTGCTCCGTATGGGATGATTTCCAGGAACATGTCGGCATTGTTTCAACATTGGACCGCACAACGACCTTCAAAAATTTGCCAAGAACATCATATCTCTTAAGGACCAACACGTATTCCGTTACACTCCAAGATAGCCTTTCAATCTCGTAACTGTTTGAACTACACGGAAAAGTGACATGAAGAGTTGAGGCTTACGTCTGTGCCTGACTTCGCAGGGTTTCAGTACTAGAAACTACCGCCAATCGGTTGGTGCAGAGAAATAATCGAACATATAACTTACTTTGTCGATGATCCCAATAATGAAAGTGTCAGGCAGCGGCGACATTTGACTTGTTTTCTTCTATGAATGCACAAAGTTCATGAGAGAGAATTTGAATTTGAATTTGAATTTGTATTTTGGGTTTACTCGTGATGTTGTATACGGACCCACACGGGCGTTGATTCCACGTTTAGATATTGGTGCGTTACGCGCGCTGGGTATTCTGTTTGATAAGTCCATCCAGGCGCCTGGAGTTCGGCGTTTTACGATACAACAGATCAATGAACTGAGGAAGAAAAATAAAATGTTTATCTAGAGTGATGAATATCAAGCAAGTTTTATCAAATTAAAAAAACTGTATAATCAATCCTTCAGTGTTAGCAGTACCAGATTATAATAAACCTTTTGTTTTAAATTGTGATGCTAGTAATAGAGCATGTGGAAGTTGTTTAATGCCAAGTTTTGAAGGTAAATTAAAACCTGTAGCTTTTTACTCAAGAAAGTTTAGCGAAGCTGAGAAATGCTTATCAGTTTATGAGAAGGAGGCGTTGTCTATTTTTTCATCAATACATAAATTCAGACCTTATTTAGAAGTACAGCCATTTGTTTTAAAAACTGATAACAACGCACTTGCATGGGTTTTATCTAACTTTAGCAAGTTAGGTAAAATTGGTAGATGGTGTGAAATAATATTAAGTTTACCTTTTACCATTGAACACGTCAAAGATAGTGACAATAAAGTTGCGGAATATTTATCAAGAATCTTTGCTACAATGAATGAGTCTGATAAAGTGGAAGGAAGTAACTTTGTAAATATTGTAAATAGTAAACCTTGTCAGAGTCATATGGGAGGATACCGCTTCTCCTGCACGACTATCGTTGTTGCTATCGCAGATTACAAATAACAATTAGCTTTCAGTACGCTATGCTAGTGCTCTTCACTGGGCAACTTGGCCATTAGATGGATCATATTTAATCCAAACGCATCCAGTTCACTGCTCACTTCTTGTTTATCTTCTTCATCACCACAGACCACTTGCTTGCCCTTGTGATCTGGTAAACGGCTGATATTCGGCTGGGTAGGCATATCGGCGGGTTCAATTTCATCATCTTCATCAACATAGATCACTTTAGCGGGAGTTTAATTTTCTTCCTTCATTTTAATAAACAACTGATCTGCTGTTGTAAACCGAGCTTTGTTTGGTTTGTAATTGCTTTAATTCAACACTCTCCCCTTTTCTTGGATATATATATGTTTCAAATAATTGATCGTTTTTACAATAGCATCTGGTCGTAGGTTTTGCTCTTCAGCTATAATCTTCACGATCCTGATTCTCGGTTATAGTTTGGAGATTTATCGTTAAAACAAACTTTTAATTTAAGAAGCCTATTGGCAAACTTCTTTTAAGCGAACTAGATTTTCATTCTGGTTTCTGATTAGTGATTTATCTTGTAGTTACGTATAACTAATGAAATAATGATATCGCTTGTAGTTAAATATCAAACTTTGTAGCTCTCACAGAATGAAGATTTTAAGTACACAAATAATTTATTGACAGTAGGTCTAATCCAAAGAATCAACAACCCAATCGTTTTTTCGTTCAAGTGATTGAGGAGTGCGACCAGCCACCCCAAACTGTTGTGGACGTAATTCGCTTGTTAACGGATCTGCGTTTTCAGAGGAGGTGGGTTAATTTCATTACCTAATCGTAAACAAATATTATATACAACGTGTCACATATAATTTTCAAATTTGTCCAATTTACGTAGTTAATTAATTTATTAATCATCAGCTTTCTTTTTCTGGGCCTTTTGCTATATGAAGGTACAAGTTCCTTTTGAGCCCTTAATCAAAATGGAGGCAAGATACAAGTGGTGATACATTGATTGTACTTGTATTATTTCTGCAGTTTAACTCTTTTTTCAAAAATTTATATCGCTTTTAATGTATATTCTTAACAAAATATTTCTCTATATGTATAAGTAATGTAAAGTATTCAATATTAAGTCTAAGTTATTCCATAACTTTATATATTTTTAAATGTAAGTCAAATTTTAAACATTACCATAAATTATCACATAAATTATCTATCTCTTTATCACAAACAATTTGACAACTTTTTACAAGGTAGGATTACTGAATGGTGCTGAATGTGTTTCATTACGATCCGTCTAGGCGAAAGGTTAAGCGTGAATGTGTTTTGAAGTAGTATTAAGTATTATAGGGCCATTAAAATGTACTATTTATGGTACTTTTTAATTGTCCTGACACTGCCATAACCTGCTATAGCACCAGTTACTGAGTCGATTATTTTATATCACCAATAGCTCGGTTGATAGTAGTGGCAGTGTCGAACACACACAAATATTTTGTCAATACCTACCAACAATGATAGTTGCCAGCTCGTACGGAGGCCGTGTGGGATATGTCCGTGCTGTTCTGTATTTAATTAATTATTACTATATTTATCATCATAATTATTGTTCAATTAGTGATAGCTTATTTCCAAACCAAATCTGTATTTTTAAATCTCATTTCAATTTCATTAAGTATTGTTGTATCAAATGTAAGAGTCTCACTCACACAAGCCTACATAAAACACACACACTATCTCGGCTGTGTTGCCCGATGCAGGACGAATCCTATTTTATAAGTTTGTAATGTTATTTCTGTATAAACAATTTTAAGTGAAAAGGCCTTAACGTCAATTTTATAATGATTAACTGTCCAGTTCTGACTGGTTTCATTTTATGTTATTGGCCATTTAAAGCTAAATAAAATTGTTTACTCGGTTAAAAAATGTGGCGTGATATGGACATGGATAAATTTGCGGTACCTCTCTAAGAAACATTGAGGTAGCGTCCCTTCCCCCTCCAAAAATAATGTTCAGTTGAAATGTAACTCTCCTCGGCTGAATACGTGCATTGCGCCGTATTTCGTTAGTCTTTCTCTATTTATAAACTTTTACCTCTAAAACCGCTTCTCGGACTCTCTACCGCTCTTCTATAGTTTGTCACGAACAATTAATAAAACTTTCTCGACGTCAAACTCTGTAAAAGGTGTTTTTTCTTAAATAAGTTATTTTAGTACGTTATCGCTGCCGCCGCTAAGCAGTTACGTCCGCCGCGTCTTCGTCGCGAGTGCCTGTGTCAAGTGCCAACTTTAGTGGATTAGGATTACTGGATTCCCCACAAGTGTTCCCCAAAAGTTTGCACACTTCCCTCATCTCTACTCAACCTACAAGTTGGCTACCCTCTTCCCAAGACGTCGTCTTCCGCCATCCACTCACGGCTTCCGCCCATGTGCCACCTCTACTCTCTAGTGTATATTGTTACTCTTCACCCTTGGATTATTGGTGAGTCATATATTACCCTCTTTACGCCCCACATGCAATGAGGTAAAACTTGTTGTGTGGGCAGATTCCGCGTGTAACTCCATGTCTGTGCTGCTTGTAGGCGGATCGTGTCCCCACATTTTGTGTCATATGTCCCGTCCCTTTTTCTGACTGGACACAGATTTTGCTAGCATTTTGCTAGCCGTTAATTCTTAGAGTCACACTTCACCTCTAATCCTGTCAGCAGTCAGGAGGATTAGAAGTTAAATATTAGCCACTAACCATACCGAAGCCATATTGGCTCGGTATCGTGGTGGGTGTCTGCTGTCACCCACACGTTAAAAACCTTTGAGCAACGATCACTAGTGAATCCCAGCGTAGAGCAACAATCACTAGTGAATCCCAGCGTAGAGCAACAATCACTAGTGAATCCCAGCCTAGAGCAACGACCACTAGTGAATCCCAGCGTAGAGCAACAATCACTAGTGAATCCCAGCGTAGAGCAACAACCACTAGTGAATCCCAGCGTAGAGCAACGATCACTAGTGAATCCCAGCCTAGAGCAACGACCACTAGTGAATCCCAGCGTAAAGCAACGAGCACTAGTGAATCCCAGCCTAGAGCAACAATCACTAGTGAATCCCAGCGTAGAGCAACGACCACTAGTGAATCCCAGCTTAGAGCAACGACCACTAGTGAATCCCAGCCTAGAGCAACGAACACTAGTGAATCCCAGCTTAGAGCAACGAACACTAGTGAATCCCAGCCTAGAGCAACGAGCACTAGTGAATCCCAGCCTAGAGCAACGACCACTAGTGAATCCCAGCCTAGAGCAACGACCACTAGTGAATCCCAGCCTAGAGCAACGAGCACTAGTGAATCCCAGCCTAGAGCAACGAGCACTAGTGAATCCCAGCCTAGAGCAACGATCACTAGTGAATCCCATCCTAGAGCAACGATCACTAGTGAATCCCAGCCTAGAGCAACGGACACTAGTGAATCCCAGCTTAGAGCAACAATCGCTAGAGAATCCCAGCTTAGAGCAACAATCGCTAGAGAATCCCAGCTTAGAGCAACGATCGCTAGAGAATCCCAGCCTAGAGCAACGATCACTAGTGAATCCCAGCCTAGAGCAACGATCACTAGTGAATCCCAGCCTAGAGCAACGATCACTAGAGAATCCCAGCTTAGAGCAACGATCGCTAGAGAATCCCAGTCTAGAGCAACGATCACTAGTGAATCCCAGCTTAGAGCAACGATCACTAGTGAATCCCAGCTTAGAGCAACGATCACTAGTGAATCCCAGCTTAGAGCAACAATCGCTAGAGAATCCCAGTCTAGAGCAACGATCACTAGTGAATCCCAGCCTAGAGCAACGGACACTAGTGAATCCTAGCTTAGAGCAACAATCGCTAGAGAATCCCAGCTTAGAGCAACAATCGCTAGAGAATCCCAGCTTAGAGCAACAATCGCTAGAGAATCCCAGTCTAGAGCAACGATCACTAGTGAATCCCAGCCTAGAGCAACAGACACTAGTGAATCCTAGCTTAGAGCAACAATCGCTAGAGAATCCCAGTCTAGAGCAACGATCACTAGTGAATCCCAGCCTAGAGCAACGGACACTAGTGAATCCTAGCTTAGAGCAACAATCGCTAGAGAATCCCAGCTTAGAGCAACAATCGCTAGAGAATCCCAGCTTAGAGCAACAATCGCTAGAGAATCCCAGCCTAGAGTAACGATCACTAGTGAATCCCTGCCTAGAGCAACGATCAATAGTGACTCCCAGCCTGCATTGACCACAGATTTTTAATCATGTTCAAAGTTGTTAGTGAAGAGAAATATATTTCCACACAAACATCCAAACCGACTGCCACGAATACACCACCTAATCTTAAAAAATATACTTAGTCGAGACCATCATTTAAAAGAAAAAAAACGTCTGAAGAAAAATCTAAAAATTTTTTTGTTAAGTAACACAGAAGGGTCGTCATTTCATAGAACAAATGTTGTTTTTTTTTAATTTCAAAATTCTGTAAAACGTTTAGACAGATATATTTTTTGAAACTTTCCGCTTATTTTGTAGAGGACAAAGAGATCAACCAATTAAAAAAAGTTTTATGAAGATATGTCTTCTAGTTTTTGAGATATGTGTTCCTAAAGTAAAATAGCATTGCGGAGATAGGCTGTCCAAACCCCCTTCATAGAACAACAAATGTTGAAGAAAAATGAACAAGCAAAGTTATAGAACAACAAATAGCAACACTAGAGGATTCTAGTTCAGAAGATTCCATTTCCAGTCCATCATTGAAAGATGAAAATGACAATTCACCTGGCATAGAAATTCATTAGAGGAACAAATGGATAACTCCTGAAAAGGAATAGATGCTGAGAGCGATTCTAAGGACTGTAATCAAGTTTGGAATCGGCTCCCAGAGGAGCAGTAACATGTGAGAAAAATCGAAGGTCATTAAATGGAGACACTCTCTTCAAATGACAATGATTGAGATTAGTAAGTATTTTACGACAAAGAAAAAAAACCATCTACTCTAAAAAGAAGAGTTTGTGATTCTGCATAACTTTATAAATTTATAATTTTAAATTTTCATTTTCATGTACAGTATTAAAGTATTTCATATATACTTTATTACTTATTTTCTTCAATATTTTAACGGTTATTTTGTAGCTGAACTAAGTTTTGGCACTTGATATATTTTTCTATACATACAAATTAAATTTTTTAGGATTTACATCTGTACATATTTTTCTATGTTATTATACAGGCTAGGTTTTATATGTTAGGTTGACTTTATTATCTTTAGAAACTTATTTTAACTTACTGTTATGCCATATTTATACTTTCATTCAATATTTAAGGCTAATATGTACAGTGTAAATGTATTTTTTTTATACACTTTTTTATGTACAGCAATAATATAGTTTATTTACGTTCAATATTTAACAATAATTTATAGTTCAATTACATTATATAAAAATTTTAATCGTTTTAAATTTTACTGATATACTTTGTATTATATTTTTGAAATGACTATATTATGTACATACCAATAAATCGTTAAAAAATTTTTATGACAAATTTATTCATTACCTAATACATTTTTTACTGTACATCTGTCCAGTAGATGTACAGAATTAACCTAATTGATAGGGTGGTCGATGTAAAAGTAATTATGACTTTTTTAGATGAAAACTATATTTACTGGACCTAAAGCTCACGGACAGATTGTAAAAATTATTGTTTTAAATAAATATGTTTATTTAAACATCAAGACATCGAGTTGCTGTACGACAATTTCCTAAAGTATGGGTGTGGTGTGAAAGCTGGCACTTTTTAACAGCCATGGAAGTCAATGAGCAAGAGAATCGCGAGTGAGAGGTTCATCGGCTTTGCCACTAAAGGTGACAACGCAAAGGTTGAAGATAAGCAAGAGGCTGTTTGTTTTCGGGAGGCAATAGCACAGTTTCTCTTATTTATTCTATTGTTCTTCACCGCAAATATTATAGGTACAAGTGCTTACTTCTGTTAGTGACTTGTCTTCGTGTGCCTATTTAAACAAGGAAGAAAATAGGTACAAGAACCACATGCGATATAACTTAATTTATTGACCATGTGGTAAGCGACCAAAGATATAATAAAGTTCACTAAATAAAGAAGTAATTTTTATTAGCGGTTAAAAAACGGTTTCTCCCACAGCGGGTATGTCTAAATATCGTACACGGCTTAATTTTCTTAGCAATAAATTTTTATTATTTACTTTTTAATACCTAAAGTTAATCGTTCAGACTCAAATGGGAAAATTATTAACATCAGTTATCACTATAAAATATTTTACTGTTAAATGGCTGCTATAAATTGTACAATTTTTATATGCTATGGGCAATTGTGGCAATGAACCCGGGTCAATTATGGCATCTAAATCTTTATGCAAAGAATACATAAATAAATAAATAAATTAATTGCATTGCAACATGTGTTATGTGTAATATGCATCATGTCAGTTCATTTGGATGTCTTTGAAAACACCTGTTGCATTGATTACTCTAAGGCAGCTGATTATTTTTATTGTTTAATGTTGAAAGTTTTTAGGTTAGGGCTTTTTTACAAAGTGTAGTTTTAATTTTTGACCTTCTTATCTTGAAGGGCATGGATTCTTAGTTAACCCTTTGAGTGCCAACGTCCGGGGAACCGGACGTTTTTAAAACGAGCCAAAAGTGCCGACGTCCGGCCGACCGGACGTTTTTAGAACGAGCCAAAAGTGCCAACGTCCGGCTGACCGGACGTTTCGTAATGATCGAACAGTTGTCATAACAACCGAATGGATACTCGGATTCTTTTAACCCATATATTAACATTGAGTCGAAAGTTACTAGATGCGATACATCGATTTTCGTTGGTCGAAATATCGAAAATTCGATTTTTACAAAATTTTAACCTAAAAATCGCCAGATCGCGCTCGGCATTTTTAGCGCGACCTTCGGGAAAAATCATCGGCATTTTTTGAGCGTTACTTTTATTTCTCGCCTGGCACTCTAAGGGTTAAAGAATGTCGGGTGGCAAAGAAAATGTATCAATGGGTATCTAAATACAAGTTAGGGTTTTTTCCAGTGGATTCAGATTCGGATTTTGACGAAGGACTAGTGGTAAAAATTTAGGACCCAGACCCCAGCTTAAAAACACTTTCTGAAGTGTGAAATTGTGTAAAAAGTGTATAAAATGAATTTTTGGAGGATAATAATTGGGGGAAAAGCAATTCCAGTCCTAAATATTGACTGGAATATAATAATAGCCAACCAGCAACTAGCCTACAACGAAAATTGAAATCACATAGTCCAACAAATACATATTGATAGGTATCCACATATTTTACCAGGAATCACCCCGTTTTCTACATAATGTCCGAAAGCGATTTTCCGACACAATAAGAATGAAAATTAAACACAAATTTTAGCTACATCCTCCTTGGTCACTACTTCACTTTGAACTAACAACATGGAGTCATGGAGACGGTTCAAAACAAACAACTAACAACGAAACCACCAGCCAATCAGATTACTACACGAAAGAAATAATCTGCCAATCAGAAATCTGTACAATTACATCATCTGTTGATCTGTTTTACCACAAACCAAAACAATAGCAATGCAGTTGCAGTGACAGGTCACTGTACCACAATTACCCCTAGAATTCCCTCAATTTAACCTGAATTCCCTCTGTATTTCTCGTAAAAACCCGTTTTTAATAGCAAAGTACAGCAGTTAAGATTTTAACATGTAGATCTTATGAACACTCACTTGTTGAGAAAAAAATAATCGTTGATTATGAAATGAAACTTTTCTAAACTAACCAAACCAACCAAACTTGCTGTACGATTCCCAGAGGAGAAAATAATAGTTCATTATGAAATGAAACCGTTCTAAACTAACCAAACCAACCAAACTTGCTGTATGATTTCATAAATCGGATTTATAAGAGAACTCGTTAGCTAGATATACAACCAAACAGTAAAGTACAAACCATGAAATTAAATAACAAATTATGTTACATAATCTAATCTAATCTAACCTAACCTAACCCAACCCAACCTTAATATTAATGTTTAAATCACATTTAATGTCAGAAAAGGAATGTGAGGTAGATAGGTCGGACTTTATGCGGATTCGTGACTATATTATTTCCTTTGAAGTGAGGTTAGATTAGGTAAGTTAAAAGTAAGGTTATAATGAACCGACTCATTAATTTATGCAACTTCCAGACTGTTTTTGCACAATTAAATAGTGGGTGAAACACAATGAAATAACAAAATGCTAGCGCATTTTTGATATCGTTATTTCAGTGTTTCACCCACTATTTTAATTGTGCAAAAACAGTCTGGAAGTTGCATAAATTAATGAGTCGGTTCATTATAACCTAACCTTTACCTTCCTAATCTAACCTAACTTCAAAACACTTAATACAGTCACGAATCCGCATAAAACCCGAAATACCTTCCTCACATGCCTAAATAAGAACTGATTATTTGGTTTCAAAAATCAAAACGAATTGATTTTGTTTCATTCCGCATTAGATCAATAGTATTAAACTGTTGTTTGCTCTTCTCTCTCAGTACGGACCCGTCCAGTCCAGATTGGATTCAGCGTTAAAAATACTGTAAGTAGACATATAACAATTAAATCATATCCCAATGTAAATACAGTAAATATTTGCCAATAATAAAGAAACCTATTAATAAATCAGATAGTAGACACCAGTGCACCCAATGTCACCAACATGAACTACTTTAAACACGATAAACGACTAACAACTTGTGTTGGTTAATTCCAGAGATATGTTTATTTAATTATTAATTCCATAATCCTTGAGGTGTTTGTTTTCTCTATGTATTCGTAACATATGTCTGCAGAAATATCGATACAGATTCGGTTCGATATATCGTTACAAAAATATTTTTATTTTCAATGTAAACAAACATGGAAATAGGTTATGATATTATACTATATATTTTATTGGTGTTTTGAATGTAAAAATGCACTCACGATCGGTGTACGTTTTTTAAGAACTTGAATAAATAAAACTATAAATATTCAAACAAAAGAAGACTGAAAACCTAACTTCACGTTTTTAGAGGATATCGTTATAGGCTATTCACACAGGGGATAGATGATACACCACTTTTATTGAACTGTTTAAATATTTTTTAAGCCATTTTTTGACTAAATA